GATTGACATATGGGAGCCATTTGGAGGTAATCATACACAATGAGAGAGATTGGGTTGCACCGAGAACCATGGAGAGTCTTTGGAATCATGAAGTATTGGGAAAAACTGGTAATCAAAACTAAATGAGATGCTAACTATTGGTCGAAAGTGAACAAAGGTGAATAATCCATTCTGTGCAAAAAAACAAGCATAATAAACAGGATGTTTTTGATATACTTTTAAATTCTATTTTAGGAGTTATATGGTTTCATAAAACTCAAAGTAAAACTCGAAATTTAGAACATACACCACAAACTGTGTACTAATAAACATGACCACACAAACATTATGAACTTTAATTACTCCGCAGGTGTATAATACAAGAGAGACTACAAAATTTCCTTCTAAAATCAATTGTTTCATCCATTATCCACAATGTTAATGTAACTTTACGTTAAATAATCATTAATTTGAAACGGATTGACAAATTAGAAACTATTCTCTAAAATAATATCAAAATGACTAACTTCGTCCTTGGTATTATGTTAAGTGTCTGGAAACTCTTATAACAACATTTACGTAAAGTGTTGGGTTTAACTTGTTTAATCCATTTTATAATATGAAATTTCTCAGTTCGTCTAATGAAGTCTCTTTGAAATTAACAATTTAAAATGAGTACTTTTCCAAGTCAAAAGAATCCCTTAAATATTTTTTTTTGCTTCAATTGTCGTTAACTATTTTATTTAAAACAGACTCAAATATCATTTCATCTCATAAATATTCAAATAGGGATGGAGCAAGAGCTGGTTTTAGGTTCTCGGTTTTAGGCAACATTAGAAAGGTCGATTTAATAGGTAGAAATGTCACAGTGTGCCGTCCAGGATAAGGACCGAACACCCTTCACTAACGGACAAGACAATATAATGTATTCGTGGCGATATGTTCACTCGGTTTACCGGTCACCGAGTTCTCCCTTGAATGGAAATGTTTCATTTACACATATATAAGATCACGTGCCAACAGAGGAAATAATAAGGAAAATAAGTGAAGTTAAAAAAGTTAATCATCTTCTTTGGACAAGATAGTATTAAAAACTTTATTTTTATCTTTTTTAACTCGTCACATGCGACCATTTGGGTCAAGCGACACAATAAATAACGTAATTCACCCCTCTGGCAGCTAATTTTCTCTGTTGAAACCGCGATATAATCCGGAGTGTGCTCCAGTGAAGCGAGAGATATCGCTAAGTGGTAATTTTTTTAGTGTTTCACAACGTTCTAACCAATTTGCTGATGAAGCGACTTCATTGAAAGTAAGAGGATGTTTTCTTTATCTATAAGAGTTATTAGTGTCTTAACTTGAAAAATTGAGGTTTAAATTTGTCATAAAAATGTATTAACCACCGAACTAATTAAGATAATTTTAGAAAGTAAACATACTCTTGTATCGGATTATTAGTTGAACACCTCACAAATTAATTAAGCGTTTATTATGGGTAAAGTTAATAGTTCAGGGTATGTTAATTTTCGCGGTATGATAAACAGACGTTGTCGGAACAATTTCCACGTTTAGAGACCGAACCTGAAGGGCGTTATTTAATTATTATTCAGTGCAAACTAGTGCTTTCAACGTGGCACCAATTGTCCGACTCTGAAGGGACTTGGCAATTGCCTTTTGGTCGGATGAGGTCGACCACCTATCTTGAGGATAGTTGAGTCTCTCTAGTAATCCTAGAAACCCGACTTGAATAGAGATCTTCGTTCAAAAACGAGGGTCAACTTGTCGGTTATAGTTCACCATCGGCTGTGAATATTAACAGTCACGCATTGTTCTGGAAACGTGCAATTTAACAAGCAATTTCATGCAGACATTTGACATTTACTATTAGAAATTGTATGATTAAATTGAAATTGCTTTGGAAGGCAAATAAATAATGCAAGCCTTATTTAACATTTTGCTAAATGTGGCAAAATTGATATTTTGTAACTTTTAACCGAAATCGTTCAGTAAAAGGTCAGATAAACATTTCAACTGCAAAGAGGAAAGATCTTCCCCTTCAAGGAAACGCGGTAGAAGCGAAATTGGACACACCACGAGCAAAATATTTTCGATTTAGAATTGTAAATTGGCTATCTTGCGAAAATTGGACGAGTCCCTTTCAAGAGTCCCGAGGCGACATATGATTTGCAATATTGTTACTTCTTATCAACAACTACTCGTTATTTCTTTTCGAAATCTTAGTCGTTATTTTCTTATCGATCGAAATAGAAATTCATTTTTAATCAGACTCAAAATTATAGTTCAATTATAATTCTACGCCATTTAAATCGATTTCGTCTTTATTAATTTTACAAAACTATCAATTAAATGGGTGTAAGTATTAATAAAGTACAACTTCTATTTGGTAGATCTTTTAATAGACACCCATATTATGGTAATTGGGTCATAAATTGAGGCCAGCTTTCTAAGTCTTACACTTTAGGTTACTTTTAACAAATTTTGTAATGGGAAAAGACTTTGCCAAGGAAGAAATCTAGCTTTAATTTATTTCGTAGTTAAGAATCCTAAGTAAAGTAGAGTTTTATGTTAAATTGGTGCATCGAAAATTGTTACATATAATTGAATAGAAATAAGTGAGATAATTATTGCAAAACGTGAAATCCAAATTTATGTAACAATAAATCGAAAATTTATGACATAATAAAAATTCGCTCGATGTACGTGGCATAAATGATTATAAATGAATCGAAAATTATTAACGTACGTATTGTGTGGCTTTACCGATTTAAATTCCATTAAAAATACAATAAATTCATGTTAAACTCGTTGATACACATATAAAGTGATTATTGAAATAGTTGAAATACAAGTTAATTTTATATAGTAAAAAAAGATATTACAAATTTCACCTGACATTTTCACGCCCAACAAAGCTTAACGCCTGAGGTCACTTGATTCGCCAAAACACCTTCAAACCACTATTACCTTTGATAATATCAGCACTGCCAGCATTCGAATTACGTCTATTAAAACCCACCGAGGTTCCCTACTTATAACGTCTCGGCTTCATCCACGGCATTTTACAACACCACCGTCGCCACCACCACAGCCACGACCATCTCGAGAACATAAACACCGATTTCACCGTATTTTCCAAATGCACCGTTTAACGAGGTCGTAAGGACGCCACCACCAATGAGAATCCGGCGGGCATAGAATGAGTCGTGCTCGTTGAATTTTTTTTCGTTCGTTTTTTACCTGCTTCCAACGCGAACAACCTTCGCACGTTAATATATCCATATTATCCAACGGAAAAGTGGTGGAGGCGCCGGGTTGTATGAAGAGAAATGGCAGCAGTATTAATGTATGGCAAAAAAAAGTCTGTAAAATGAAAATTAGATATGAAGGTACCGAATTTATCTTGTGTAAGATTAATTTTTTTATTAGGGACATAATAAAATTATGTTTATAAAAGTTGGAATCTGTATTTTTCCTGATTTATTTTCTTACAAATTTTCATGTACAGTAAGTTAATATTTTTGTGTTTTATATTTTAATATAAATTCTTTTTAAAAACAAATTAATACTGTTACATTTTTCGGAATGAACTTTAATCTTCTCAGTGCATCATATAAGTATCATGTAATCATATAAGAATCATTATAAGAAGATATGTTAATGGATGCGAGTACCTTAAAGAGGAGTTCAATTCCAATGTTTTAAAGACTGCTTTAAACTTTCAAACATACGGGTTATAATTTTTTGTATTCAAATTTTTATAACTATAAATTATAAACGCACAGCGAGATCGAGATAGCACCCTGAAAAAGCATTTAAAAGGAAACTTAATTAATATTAACATGAAGCTTGAGAAAGATCAAACTTTAAAAAGTCATTTTTCAAAATATAAATTTATATAAAACTAGGAAAAACGCATTTTAAAGCTTAATTAATTGGTATTTAAATCGGTTTAACCATAATTATAGTTACATAGCCCTTTAAAACCATTAATCTTTAAAATATGTCTCATAAACTATTCGAGATATCAGCATAAAATAAGTTGTACTAGAAAACAAATATGGTCGATTTCGTATTATAAATAGTGATCAAACCGATTATAAGTTATTATAAGAAGGCCTTTTGGGTAAAGCTTCGAGTAAAAGCGCACGTTTGTATTCAAAGGCATCGGACCGTTGAGTTATGGTGTCATTAAAGTAAATTGGTTTTATGAATATAAAGTTACAGAGGCTATTAGACCTTCTCTAGAAAGAACTGATAGCAGGGCAGCGAAAGATGCTTGGGACGTGTTGCAATTACGCCATAAATACGGGTTAAGGGAGCAGAGTTGCTCGTGCATCGTTAGTTTTCAGGACTTGTGTATTTTACACTCCTTTCATAACTATCAACTCGTACTTTCTCCTTCTTAAACCAGATAAAATCTGTACGGAAACTATTTGCGCTACTTTGAGAATATATTGAGTTAAGTTGCATTAGGCTTTACATTGTGGTCTCTAGTCATTGTTTTACCACATGAGTATGCAGCTTTCAATTAAAGCTTACTGTTTGGAAGTGGAATTAATTACTATCCTTTAATCAACTCGTTACGTTAAAGTCAACATGGTTTAACATTTAACATAGTATAATTCATTTAAATAAATGTAATAGTGTTTATATAGATGAAGATACGACGTATTTATTAAGAATAACAGTTATTAAAACAATAAACAAGAAGAAATTGTCATTTATATTTTTCCTTTATTAAATTCTTGAGACGCCTCGAAGGCGAAACCGTCGCCTTCGTCTTCGCGAATAAAACGTCGTGTTTACTGGGATCGAAAGAACGAAGAGAATAGGAGTAAGTAGGTGGTCCGCGCAATCTCGCCCCGAAAACCCTTTTCTACCTACCGTTTCTCTTCTTCCGAGAGAATATCGTTCTGAGAAATACGTTTCGCAAACAATTTCGACCGCCCGAGACAGCATACGTACACACGTACAATGAGCATAATAAATATGAAACTCACTTCGCATTCCAAAAAAGGATGAGCACCGTTTCCGCTTTTCTTCTCGCTCGTCGATGGGAGAAGAGTGATCCTGAGAGAAAAGCTCGGTGATTCCCGTTCACCTGAAATAAAAGGGACAGGAAAATAAATTAAAGGAGTCGAAAGCAATTACAGAGGCAAATAACAGGTACTGCGAATTAAGGAGATTGAATTTGGTCGCGCGACGGCAATTAAACAAGAACGAAATGAGGACGATGTTTTTAGTGAACGATTGTCATACCGAAAGATGGAGCTAATACAATTAAGAAGTTGGAAAAAGTATAATTATTTTTTAAAGGAAATTTGTATTAATTATTTCTTTGTAAAATTCCTTTGTGTGCATTTTAAAGGAAGTAAAATCAGTATTTTCAACTTTATATTTTGAAAAAAAGTCGTTTTCGATCTACTTCTCTAATTCAAAAAAGTTTTCTTATTTTTAAGATTATATCACAATTTTATTATTAAAACTGTAATAACATAATGTTATGTTTATTTGGAACTTAATAAATATGTTATTAATATATGTAAGGTTGGTTGGATGTTATGAAAATATTTATAATTGTTAGGAAGAGCTTAAAAATGGTTTATGTCACATCAAGGAGTGCATCACGAGTTCATCTCTTATTATTTTTCTGGTTGATATCAAACTTTATCCAAGCTTAGACTTATTGAAAATAAATTGCAATTTAGTGCATACAAGACATTTGTCAACATTGTTTCTATTTGTTTGATATCAAGTTATTATTTATCCACTTTTATTAACGTCTTTTAATTTAGTCTTTTATTACATGTCTAGACTTTTAACAAAAATTGTTTTTGTTATACAACTTTATCATCTGAAAGGATTTTCGAGTCTCGACAGCCGCGAAAGACGCTTAGCGTGATATATGAAGAACATAAAGGATTATATAGATGTGGGCGTAAAGAGGAAGTTGTAGCAAGAAATTTGTATGGAAATAGTTCCTAATTGAGGTGAACAGTTCGCTAAATTTTGCTGTATTGCAAAAAAATAACGCCATAATAAAACGTCAAAAAGGATCTTGCTTGTTCCATTTTAATACAAAACTGCCAACCTTTTCGCAGATCGTGCTGTGTGTTTTGGCACTATAAAATAATTTGCTGCTCTTTCAAAGAAAAAGCGAAAAATCGAGCACGGAACCACCACTTTACTATTGAAGCATAAATACTAAAACCTGTTCACTAAGAACCGGTTGAGGACACTTACTTTTTCTTTGTCTTTAATCATGATCTTTGCTAGACGACGATAAATTAGATGCAAAAATTGAAATATTACACGTTTTCTTCCACCACAACAGTTCACCAAGAGATCAACTGCATCGTTATCACACACTCTACATTCACATCCGACATTCATCCGCACATTTCAACTTCCATAATACATCAGTATAACTATGCGAATCCGGAACTACAAGAACTCTACATATTCAGTTGCTCCATCTTCTGGAAACACTAACGAGTCGATTCACTCGGATATCTCACAAGTTACCTTGGGTTCCTTCGCGTCCGAGAAAACTTTAGAATTATAAATATAAAATTCAATAAGATAAATCATGAAAGAACATATATTTCTATACATTCCTTAAGTGTAACTCAACCTCTTAGTGTTTTCCTTAGAAATAGAAAATCCAGTTAATTTCAAAAAGTTCTTGAAATTGGTTACACTCATTTTATAGTGGATGAAAACTTATCGGAATATTGTAGCAGTTCTATTTGGAATTTGTTTTGTAGGAAGTTCCCTTTGTAAGTCGATCATAATATATAGGATGAACCTAATACCGTTTGTTAGTTTTTACAATATCTTTTTTATTGCATATTAAGATAAGCTTTATTAGTAACCGCACAACTTTCGAGATTGTTATATTTGATCAATCTGTACACCAAATGTAAAAGAACTGACACACTTTACTGTGTGCCTAGCCTAATGTTATAAGACACGAACTGAAGAAAGTGACTTGCTTCAACCTCAGAAAATTAACTCCCTCAATTTCAATTCTGCGATGATAAAATCGGACGAAAAATCACAAGGTAAAATTATATAGTATTAAACAAATCGGCGCTGACCGTAAATCATAAGCTTACGCCTGAACTAATTTTTTGGGTGAATAATAATGAGATAAAAAAAAAATAACATGGTTATATTATAAAAATAATATTTTTATATATTACATTTTAAAAATAACCTAGTGAAAATTTCAATTTTATTTATTTTATTATAAATTTAAAAACTTCCAATAAAATATAAAATAAATTAATTTTTGTTCACTTGAATATTTTATATAGTTCAGTGCTATACTCTTGGGGAGCTAAATTTTAAATGATATCCTTAATAATAAAGGCGATTTCTAACAAGGTAAACAGTTTACCTCAAGAAATAATTAATTTCAAACGAGTAACTGACGTGTTTACTTTTTAATGAATTACTTCCACAACATTTCGTTATGAATTATTATAGCTAAGAACCATTTAAAATATTACATTTTTCTAAAGATACACTGGTAGTTTCGTAATAGAATATATCCAACCGTGCAGGTTGTGTGGTATTGAATAATAAACATTTTCCACTGCAGTAAAATTTAAATTATTAAACTCTGCAGTCCTACTACTAGTAAATGTTATTTTTCCAACCAAAGATATTGCACAATCAGAATAGTTCTGTTATGGTCGAAGTCGATAATGCAAAAGCATTTCGTCCACAGTGATAACTCGTCATCAGAAATGCAAACCCTCGGTAGATATGACAGATACGTTATGCAGTTCGCATTCCGCGATAGACTGGAAATATTCGACCGCCCGCGTACTCGTATACTGAATAATAAACGTTGTTCAACGTTGGTCTGAAATTTTCGCTCACGTACTGTACACATGTGCACGCAATTTGTGGCTGAAATGAAATGTTGAATAAATGTTGGGTACGCTTACAGAAAGCTACCCTAAAAGCTCTTTCATCAAAAATGTTTTAATACTTTTATAAGGTATTAATCGAATTTTCAAACTTTCTTTTTCGAATATCTAAAAGATTTAATTAACCGCAAAGCTCCAAATTTTACAAACTACACAACGAAGGTGGTTGGTTTCCCTTAAAGGGTCATTTATCCATTGCCTTCATTATAAACGTAAATAAACCTCAAGCAGTAGGCAAGTAAACAAGGCCGGGCCCTTTGACCTTCACCCATTCCTCGGATAAATTGCTTCTGAAAGTTTAATGGGCGAATGTCAAGCGCCACTAATGAACTATGGAAATTGTAATTTAAACTTTTGAAAGGTCCACGTTGTGTAAATTTCCTTCCGGGCTGACCCTGTACCACCAAATCAATATTATCTAGATATTCTAGATAATTAGAATTTTTTGTCCGATCTGAATTATGCTTGAATCCAAAACGGGATTTAGTGTTTGAATTTTAAATGGGATTTAAAACGATATTTAAGAATGGGGTAATTAAAACCAAACTTCCCCTTCGGAAAATATTTATAGATAGGATATAAATTACTTATCGGCTCCAATTAGATTTAAGGAGCCTCTTTCCGTTAATGCTCCTCCTTTCGTAATGGATCCCGGAAGTCGGCCCTTGAAACGACTGGAAATGACAGTTAAAATTTATCGGTTTTCTTAAATTCGCTTCGAATGTGAATTTCGTATGTCAAACCTAAATTTATAGAAATCTTGGATGACACACAGTACATATATGGACACTCTATATGTTCGAGGCAATATTAATAATGACGGGTTAAGTCAATTTCTAGGACAGTTCCAGCTTCAAACGGCACCGTAATACGTACAATTTGAGCACAGCTGTGCCCAAGTTTAGATTGGGGTTAATAGCACTTACACGGGCGTATCATGCCGGGGCATGAAACATAAATTATGTACTGACAAGGCCTAGATGTCTGTAAGTGGTTTCAAACCCTTGCTTATGCCAATACTAGAACTACCCAAACTGACTGCTATGATAAATATTAAATGCGGCATCATCGAGCGAAACATTTCTATTACTGACATTTTATTAAAGAAATCAATAATCTAATTTTCAACTATTTGATTTACTATCCACCATAAAAAAGTTCTTTTCAATTCGATGTTTTCAATCATCCACAAAATCCATATTTATTCGTATTTCGTTTCGGAGAACAACCAATTTTCGCGGATTACTTGTTTACAACCGTACGAGTACCCGCACCTGGTAGACAGCGAACAATAATAATGCATTTCCGCGCTAATAACTCAACTTGGGCAAGTTCTGCCAAAGCAGCTTACCCATAATTCGACGGAATAAATGAGGTCGGTCCGCTACGGGCTTAATCAACTCTTTTTTATACGTCGCTGTTGTTTTCTTTCCTATTTGGGTGAAAACCGGTTTTTCTTTTTAATTGACTATGTAACACCTCCCTTTTTTCCCCTTGGACTTGTACGCTAGGATTAATTTAATTTTTGCAGAGTTGAATAGAACTAGTCCACCTGAAAATTACGTGCACTTTCACCATTTATTTCAACCCGTTGGGATTTGTCTACAAAACACGACTTGTTAATGTAGACATGTATAACCAACCAGTTTTATAACTTTATATTCTGTTGTAGCGATTTATAATAGTAAAAGATCAACAGCACATCCTTCTAGTAACCCAAACTTTGATGGATGTTCCTTCTCAAAAATGGACATATCACGAGAAATTTTATAGCCTTATTTACGTCAACATAAAGAACGACTTAATCCGAACGGTTCGTAAAATATTACCCTTCACATTTATCCGCGTCAAGAGGCCCTATATCAAAACCCCGTAGGTGTATACCACTTTTAGCAAATACTCGTTAAAATTAATGTTAACTAGTTTGAGAGAGAAGCTCGTTCTATTAATGTTAACGTCAATACCTCCGTCTACCCTAAAAAGCTATTAAGGTGGCCAATTAGCTGCATTTAAAACCGGGAAAGCTATCCCAAGAGACTTAAACTAAAGCGTAACGTCACACAAGGGAAATCATCCCGTACAGGTTCGTCTTACTTTTAATTTTATTAGATGGTATTAGTTGACTCGTATCATTATTGTCACAATCTGAATATAAACTGGT